AAAAAATAATAATATAAAAAAATATTATGAAAAATAAAATTTAAATTTTTTTTCTTTTTTCTTTTTTTTTTTCTTTTTTCTTTTTCTTTCTCCTTCTCCTTTCCCTTCCCCTTTCTCTTTCCCCTTTCCCTTCTCTTTCCCCTCAGAACCCAACAGGCCTGGGTTCCTTCGAACCCACCCAGGCGCTGGGTTCGCAAGGAACCCAGCACGCTTGCCTGGGTTGGGTTCCAAGGAACCCAGGGGTTACGCCTGGGTTCCAACCCACGCCGAAACCCCGGCGCGGGTTCCATGGAACCCAGGCGCTGGGTTCGAAGGAACCCACGCGCTGGGTTCGAAGGAACCCACGCGCTGGGTTCGAAGGAACCCACGCCTGGGTTCTTCGAACCCAGGGGTAAAAAATATTTTTTTTTCTGTGGTTTTGGTGTTTGATGATGATGAAGAAAGGAAGGCAAGGAAGAGGAAGGAAAAAAAAAGGGCGTTGTTGGGTTGGATTCAACCCAGGTGCTGGTTTTGTTTGGTGCTGGGTCTGTTTGCTGGGTTTGTTTGCTGGAGGAAGAAGATGATGGCAAATTTGTAATTTTGGTGGGTCCCACTTTTGTTGGGTTAGGCAAAGAGATGACATGTCACGTTGCCATGTCATTATTTAATCATTTATACAACTGACGTGTCTCAAAGGTTTGACATGTCATTAAATTGTTTGAGATAATTGTGAGATTTTAATGGAAGGACCAAATCGAGGTAAAAATGGTAAACAGTAGGGACCAAATCAAGGATTTTTTTAGTTCAGGGACCAAAAAAGGGTTTTAACCTAATAATAATAATAATGATCAAATGTTCAAGTTCTTAACCATTAAAACATTTGCTAAAAATGTTCCTAATCTTTCATATCCATTTGTTTGTAACCTAAATGTCTTGATTTCATTAAAAAAGTGCCTATGTCATAACTAGACAACGTAAAGAATGGAGGGTATTATGGATTGGAATAGATGAAGGAGATAATTTTTCTCTATGGTTTCTATTAAAAATGTCATCATAGTAATGCAATTCCTTCATCTTTATAGTTTTGGATTTCTAATTTGATTGTAAAAGGTAATTTTTATGAAATGAAATGCAGGATGATGATATTCAAATAGAAAAAAAAAAAAAAAAAAAAGAAGTAATTTGTCATCCACATCAATGCCAACAAAAAGTGAATTTGCGAAGCTTCTTAAATTATTTTATCTTTAAAAAATACGTTAAACAATATTAAATGGATATTAATATGCTACATAGAACCTTCTTGATTTTTTTCTTTGTTTTTCTTTATTTTTCCTCTATCCCCACATTTCTCTTTGTTTTTAAAAAAGTCAATGCTAGCAAAGAGCATCAAAAAAAAAAAAATGAAATCAAAATTTTAAGATTAAATCTAACTTACTCAATTGAGATATTTTCTAGGTTTAAATTCTTAGAATAGTTGAGATCTATGAGTGTCCATGCCAAAGCCAACAACCATGGTAGTATTTGTAAGTTCAACGTGAGTCAATAATTATAATCGTATAAAGAGGTTTGTGGTATAATTGTAAGGAAATAAACGTTAGAGGCATTTTCTGGAACCACTTTAAAGTTTTGGGCATAAACTTTGATTTACTTCTTTATTAATATTTAATAGTAATTAACTGAAAATTAAAAAATTACAAATAATTAACAGTTTGGCCGACTGGTCCACGGCGCCAGATTTAATTAGGCTCTGGTCCGAATGGGTTGGCTCATGGGTTCAAGTCTAATTGCTGGCTGTCAATGAATTTTCAACCCATTACAAATATGAGTAAAAATTTATTTATACAAAAAATTTATATAAAATTTTTATTTTTTATTTTTAATTTTTAATAATTAAAATTTAGAATAATTTTTTATATAAAAAATA